TAGTATAATTATAATGAGGAACCCCCAAAAGCCCCCTATCCTAATTATGAAGGCCTCTGTATTATGCTTTGCTCTTTCTTGTTTTTCTCCTGAGGGGGCTCGGTAAGGGTTCTGCAATGGTAACCCTAAGCCCTAAACCGTTTAGGGTTTAGGGTTTAGGGTTTACTTGGAGGTTCATGGGTAGTTATAAGTGGAGTTATATGTAAGCTAACTATACTTATAACCCATATTAGGGGACTTATAACCCTACTTATAACTAGCCATGAACCTCCAAGTAAGGGGGTGCATAAGGGTTCCTTCGTGGGGTTGGAGTTTGGGGTTCTCTGGCTCCGGGTTGACTGTAACCTAAACCCTAAACCGTAAACCCTAAACTGTAGGTTTGGAGAGGCGTTTTTTGAATCGCTATTGATCGTGGTTTCATTTGGTGGCTTGGGAAGGGGTTTGTAAGACCTTACAGCAAAATAGAGTTCAAGCAAAGTTCTATACAGCCTTTAAAAAAGCCCTTAACAGATCCCTAAACCCTAACCCCCCAAAAAAAACACACCTAAACCCTAAACCCTACAGTCCCTACAGGCCCCAAGCTGAACCCTAAGGGGGCCCTCACAGGAGAGCTTACTTGGAGGGTCGGGAGACTTAGTAAGTAGGTAATAGGTAGACTTATAAGTACCCTAAAAGGGACCCTACTTGGGGTTATAATACTTATACGTCTATAAAATAACCATTTACTAGGTCCCCCGACCCCCCTAAACCCTAAACCCTAAACCCTAAACCCTAAAACCCTAAACCCTAAACCCCTCAAGGGATCTTAAGGAGGTTTCTCGGATCCCTGGTTGAGGCGTTCGGTGCTGAGGTTTTCGGGTCCGGGTGTCCGGCTTCATGTTTGGGGCCTTGAGGGTTTAGGGCCTTTACGTTTTAGGGTTTAGGGTTTAGGGTTTTAGGGTTTTAGGGTTTTAGGGTTTTAGGGTTTGGGGCCTTTAGGGTTTAGGGCCTTTAGGGCCTTTAGGGTTTAGGGTCTTTAGGATCTAGGGTTTGGGGCCTTTAGGGTTTAGGGCTTAGGGCCTTTAGTGTTCAGGGTTTAGGGCATTTAGGGCCTTTAGGGTTCAGGGTTTAGGGCCTTTAGGGCCTTCAGGGTTCAGGGTTTAGGGCCTTTAGGGTTCAGGGTTTAGGGCCTTTAGGGCCTTCAGGGTTTAGGGCCATTAGGGCCTTTAGGGTTCAGGGTTTAGGGCCTTTCGGATTCTCTTTGGTAAGACGGATTGCGGTTTGTCCTCTGGCGAGACTTGCAAGCGTCACTCGAGGGTCAAGGTTTTCATCATCCGAATCTTTTGCTGCTAGGGTTTAGGGTTTAGGGCCCGCCACTACTGTGCTGCTATACTATACGATAATAGACCATACCAACAGATACGGTGCTATACTATACTACACTAGACTAGCCTCGGCTGGGGATGAAGTTTCCGGATGATTTCTTTCGGAGGTTTCAGCCCAGCTCGCTGTGAACGCGCAAGGCCAAGAGCTACTGTCTCAGAGGTTTCCTCAGGGGTTGAGCCCAATATTCCTTAAATAAGGAATATACCTTAACTTATAGGGGGCCTTAATATTATGATTTAAGGTATATTCCTTAATTACGGGGTATTGTGCTTTCTGGGTTCCTACAGACGTTTAAGGGATCTACGAGGGCTCTAGACAATGGTTCTTCTGAAGGATATCCGGGGTTTACGCGTGGGGTGAAACCCTAAACCCTAAACC